TTTTTGTTGTTGTTTGGGGTTAAGTTTTTGTTGCTGCTGCTGTTTTGGTGAGATGCACTTAAATTTAGTGTGCTTGGTTCACACAAAGCAGTCATGAGACAGAAGCTTCAGTTCCATGAAACTAAGTGATGAAGACTACAAGGGGGTAGGAAGAAAAGCGGTACCAAGAACGGAGTCATGGAGTATGCTTTCCTTGGGGGAGTGGCACTATTTCAGGGGCTACACACCGCCTGTTTACAACAAAATGCTACACAAAAGCACAGACCGGCCAGTGTGGACGAAAGCATCCAGTCCTGTGACCTTTCTTAAACCATCCAGTCCTATGGCCTTTCTTAAACCAATGAAGAGAGGGCAAAGGCACGGGTAGACCGGGCATTCCCTCATTCTTACACAAGGTCCCAGCCATCCCCACAAGTGGCATAACCAGGTACAAAAGTCCATAACTGCCCAAGAAAGAGTGTCATGGGGGAGAAACCAAGGCATTAATTATGCTCTTAGGCAAATAAATGATACTGCACCACTACACAAGCTGCCAGACCACCGGCCAGACCAAACAGACGAGCGTTGCCGGGTTTCACCGCTTTCCTGTGCTACTCCTGAGGTCAGGCTCGGGACAGCCATAACGATTAGTAAAAACACAATCGAATACTTATTTCAATTCCATTTCTTCCAGAGATGGGACCCAGCTATGTAGACCAATGCAGCCTCAAAAACAGAATCCTCCTGTCTCAACCTCCCTAGTGCTAGGATGACAGACATGACACACACCCCTTAAGGCTACTATTTAATTTTATCTTGGGGATTTGTTGTTGCTGTCTGAGATGAAGTGGCTGGTTCTATGCTACCCTGACTGTTCTGGAACTTGCTATGTAGACCAGTCTATGTAATTCACAGAGATCCACCTACCTCTGCCTCACAAGGGCTAGGATTAAAACATGCACCACTACACCAGGTAATGTTAGTATTTTAAATGATGGTTTTACTTCTTCAATATCTAAACAACAAAATAAGCCCAACATTTACCTGGGAACATTCTTAACTGTGTGACTACAATGTGGGAACTGAAAATTTAAACCTAAGTGTAGCTCCCATAATCCAACCTCCCCATACATGGATATGCAATGACTTTTACATCCATTATTTAGTTCAGACAAGAATATACACACCCCTTATATACACACCCCTTAATGAACAAAGCACACATATTGGAGCTGGCTAAAGTAATATCAGTGTGCAATGGATTTACATGCACCCACAGAGCTATGCATCACTTATAGACTGTCACTTATGTTCTATTCGGAAACACAAGCTGTAACACAAGACCACCTCCTCCCTTACAATCACAAGAACTTCTGATTCTGGACAGGCATGAGAGAGAAGCTAACATCAAGAAAAAGAAATATAGCGGGTCAGTGGTGGCGCACGCCTTTAATCCCAGGACTCAGGAGGCAGAAGCAGGCAGATCTCTGTGAGTTCAAGGCCAGCCTGGTCTACAGAGCGAGTTCCAGGACTGTTTCACAGAGAAACCCTTTCTCTAAAAACAAAAAACAAACAAAAAAAAAAACAGCAAAAGAGAAGGAAAACAAATGTGCACAAAGCTCAGTATTATGTTTAGTGGGGTCACACACCCTTCCTCTGCTTCTGTCTCAAAGTAAAGCAAATTCCTGGCTTCTACATAGGAAGAAATGGAAACCACACAGTAGGGAAGTGAGAGCCTGGAGCTGGAGGCTCACAATCACTGCTCTCTCAGAGTCAAGCACCTGGACAAGCTCCCTTCTCACACGGGGATGGTCTGTTAGATCATGAACTCACTGAGGAGCAACCCCACTGCACGTGTGCCACAGCTCTGACAGAGGTGGGGGCTCCCGACCACGGTCGGCTGGAAAGACATCTCAGACTGGCTATGGTCTGCAGTCAGTCACCCGCTGAGACCTTCACCAAAACCCTGAGCCATCAAGACACTGTGAAATGCCCACCAAGACTTAAGGGTGGGATGGCTTAAATGGCAGTGTGCAAAATGACCTTCCTTCCCCCTCCAAATTCAGCTCCACTGGTGTCTTGGGCTAACGCAGGTAAACAACTAAAGTCTTCAATGGTGGACCCTGTTGAGTGACACACCAAGGACACAGGGACAAGCGTTTCCCTACATCTCTCCTCTGCAGCTTCAGGTTTTGATTAGTCCTGCATGTTTAGTCTCATACCTTTTTTCTTAAAGATGAAAATTGCTGTCATATTACATACTCAGAGAGTTGACACTAGTAACGAGAGTGAAAGCGCACAGAGGACAGTGACTGTGGTGGCAGTGTGCACACTGACAGCACTTCTGCACCACACTGGGACAACAAAATGATAAGATCCCCATTTTCCAGCTGAGGAAGCCAACCAAGGGGGCATGGGACAAGGAGAAAGTGGAGCCATGAAGTGAAGACAGAACCCCTAACGGGGGAAGACCTTCTGTGTATATGTTTGTCTCATTGGTTGATTAATAGAGCACTGTTGGCCAATAGGGAAGCGAGATAAGTGGGACTAGGAGTCTAGGGGGATTCTGGGAAATGTAGTCAAGAGTAGAGAGTTGCAAAGTGATCCCGGGTAGAGGGGACACATGAGGCTGGTGTCCTCAGTAAGATAAGACCTTGCAGAAATATAAATATAAATAATATAAGAGTGTGTGTGTGTGTGTGTGTGTGTGTGTGTGTGTGTGTGTGTGTGTAGTTACGGGTTAATACTTAAGACAGAACTAGCCAATGAGAATCCCTGGACATTGGTCAACAGCATTGTAACTAGTAGAGTCTCTGTGTGTTATTTGGGGTTGGGGTTGACATAGCTCAGGGACGGAGCTAGCGGGAAGAATGCTCATTACAAACCCCCTCAAAGCAAAGCTCTACAGTTCACGCTGGCTATGAAAGCTGTATTTCCCCAGTTTATTAATTTTACTCAGTTATTTCCTAGCTTAAGAATCATACTTTAGGGACTGTGTTTCTAAAGACAAAAGGCCCTGTGAACTGGGTTAGAATGCACTTTCAAAGCCCCTTCTGAGTGTGAACCAGCTAGACCAGATCCACTTTCTTTAACTCACCCCCTAGACTCACTGAGTCTTACATACCAAGTTCCCCTCTGGGATGTCACTTTTCCAGGCTCCTTGATCTTGTATGCAAAGTGTTGTGACAGTCTTCTAGGGCAGCCCAGAAGCACATCTCTCTAGAATCTCTTTTCTCCTCTGCAATCCCTCTCTGTGCCATGCAAACCAAGTGAGTCTGTGCCGAGGGACCAGCCTTACCACAGCTCATGCACACCAGAGAGGACCTCTGCCTGGCTATGCCCCAGATGACCTATGAAAACATCTGTCCCTGCTGAGTATGACATCAGAGCACTGCAGGGAAGCAGGCACGTCACTTGGTCACCAAAAAGAAAATCAACACCCCTGCTTGCGAAGAAGTCTAGGTTCACATTACCCCCCCGCAGCACCTAAATTGCTAAGTAGTCCCTATGTCAAAAGATAGGCATAGAAAAAATTAAAAGGTCAAATCTGAATATTGGGCCTAGAAAGACAGTGTTAGAGTGGATTAGGAGATGACTGACCATGGATCTCTAGAGCCTTGAGATGGCTAACCTCACGAGGGTTTGAAGTTTCACACACAGAGAAAAGAGCACACATCCTCACTAGACAGCTTAGCAGTTAAGAATACATACTGCTCTTGCAGAGAACCTGAGTTGGATACCCAGTACCCACATAGGGAGGCTCACAACAGGTTGTAATTCTAGCCCCAGGGGATCCAACGCCCTCTTCCAACCAGTATAGACACTGTACACGCATGCACATACTTCTCCTCGCACACACATATATACAAGATTAAAATGAAAAACAAGGGGCTGGGGAGATGGTTCAGCAGTTAAGAGCACTGACTGCTTTTCCAGAGGACCAAGGTTTGATTCTCAGAACCCACATATTGGTTTATAACTATCTATACATCCAGGCCCAGAGATCCAATGCTCTCTCCCAGCCTCCCTAGGCACCGGGATCTCAAATTGTAGACAGACATACACGCAGGCAAAACACCCAGACACATAAAATGAAATCTTTTTAAGAAGTCATGTGTATATACAGCATTAAGAACAAACTGAAGGCTACCTAAGTGCCCTGCAACTACACAATTGGATACCACCAGAGCAAAGAATGAAGAAAATAAACCACATTTAGTAACAGGAAAGTTTCACATACGCACTGAGTCAAACGAGCCACACACAAAGGGAAATACACTACAGGATTCTAGGCACAGATTTCAAAAATTAACAGAAGACACCAACAGTTGGGACTCAATTTTTCTCGGGACCTGCAGCACCAGTGACTGTTACGGGTTCACTCGTAACACTGGTTCCATGCAGCCATCTGGTGAGGACATGTGCTTGTTCTGTGTGTGAAACTTCTCCAGGCCACAGAGATGCAGGGACAGTCACCTCTTAACTCTAACATGGAATGATGTTCCTCTTCCCTGCCTCCCTGCCTCCCTGCCTCCCTCCTCCTCTCTCCCTCCCTCCCTGTCAGGGTTTACAAGGATCAGAATCACATTTCTATTAAGGCCACAAACCAGAAGGCACCAGTGTCCTGCCACCACCACCACAACAGGAATGGCATCCTAACACTCCTGACGATATGGCAGTGAAGGCCAGACAGTGCTATGTCCACATTCGCCATCTGGACAGCTGACAGGACACTCTGAACCTCAGCTTCCCCCGCCCTCTCCTAACTCAAGTGTCTACTACTGACTACTAGATACGGGAGAAGAACTTAGAGTAAGTCTGGACAAGTCGGTGAAATGCCTCCCACCCAGCGCAAGCTCAGCAGCCGCGTCTCACACCGCCTGGCAAGAGGAATGAGGAGAAAGGAGGCCATCAAGCCACTTGGAAACACTTCCTCAGCCTGAGGGGTCACCGGAGGGTCAACAAGCCTCAGTCCCGGGGATAAGCCAGCACAGGGTGTGGAGGCAAGGCCAACAAAGCACCTGAGGAGGAAGAAGGCGGTGCCTCTGATATGCTCCCAGGCCTGTGTTTTCCTGCTCGCTGACAGCCAGGAGACAGGTCGGAGCCTGCACATGCCCACTTCTGTCACGCTGCCCTCAGAGTCTGGAAGCCTGTAAGGAGGGGTTGTGCTGTGTCGACAGCTAACGACAGGTATCAGGGTGTCAGAAGTGAACCACTATGGGGTAAGCCCACTCACTCACCAAAAAAAAAAAAAAAAAAAAAAAAAACGGGTTCAAGGCTGATTTTTCTCAGTTCTTCCAATCTTGCCCGTCCTCAGCAAGCTGGTCCATAGACGTTCTGTACTGAAAGAAAATAAAGTCATGTTAATACAAATTTCAAGTCATAGCACAGCAGGGGGAAAAAAAGGCTCAGATGGCACATTGTTGTGTAAACAAAGCACAGCAAACTGACACCACAGGAGTTACTAAAGACAAGAAACCCACGTGAAGAACTGCCTGCCTCCCACCTCATCCCTTGGCACACCCAGCACCCCCTTCTCTGTCCCTGTGGCTCCTGACTACTTTGCTCCCCAGCTACGCACAGCCTCAAATATTCCTTAAAGATGGAGTCTCTGATGGCTGGGAGGCCAGCAGGGGAGTGATCCAGGCCCCCTGAATGTGGTGTCGGTGAGGAGGCCTCAGCGATCTCTGGGGCCTTGGGTAATATCTAAGTGTTTACCATGGTGTACGAATGAACATTGGAAGCCCAATCCACATGGAGGGATGCTCTCTCAGCCTGGTCACATGGGGGAGGGCCTAGGTCCTGCCCTGGATGAAATGACAGACTCTGGAGATCCCCCATGGAGGGCCTCCTCACCCTCCCTGGGGAATGGTCTGAGTATTGGGTGGGGGGCTGGAGGGCTGGTGGAGGGGTAAGGGAGGAGGGGTGGGAGAGGGAGCTGGGATTGACATGCGAAGCAAACATGCTTCTAATTTAATTAAAAAATGTATTGAAAAAAAGATGGAATTTCTGTTAAAACCATCACCATTAATTTTCATGACCAAAGTACTCAGCACATGGTGGTTGCTCTATGAACAGTTGTAGGGTAAATAAATGAATCGTAGTTTTACAGTACATTTGTTAGTCTGTATCTGCCCAGGACCTCCTGCCAGACACCAGAATCTCAAGACGCTCAAGTCCCTTATATAAAAGGGCCCAGAATTTGTGCATGGCCCAAGCTCAGCATTCTGTATACATCAAATCATATCTAGGTTGCTGATAATGCTTCTTCCTGTTGCCAGCATTATGTAGGCTGTCACTATACTGTTTAGAACACAGCCTCTGAAACCACAGGTTGATACCCAATATGGGATCGCATAACTGGATAGAGTCATGAAAAAACCTGGCAGCAATAAAAGGTTTCAGAATGTACAATGACCAAAACACAATTAAAGGCCAACCATGTAACAAATATGAATGATTCTGGCAGCTCATGCATACTGTGTGACCTCACTTCAGCCTTAACAATGAACACACAGCTCACTCTGTGCCCTCACTCGATGGAGTGCCTGGAAGCATGGGTTCAGACGCCTCGGCTCAGATCCAGGACCATATATATATGTGTGTGTGTGTGTGTGTGTGTGTGTGTGTGTGTGTGTGTGTGTGTGTGTGTGTATGTGTGTGTATAATCAATCTTTTCTAATTAAATCAGACAGACAGACAGACACGCACGCATGTACACACACACACACACACACACACACACACACAGCATGAGCGTGCATAGCTGGTTTAAGGAACCCACGCAAACACATGCCCACCTCCAAACTATGCATCTCAGTGAACTTCCACAGAGTTAGAACGGCCATTCCAAAGCCATAGAGTTTAGAGTTTTACACTTCCCCTACTAATTACATGCTTATTTGCTTAATAAAAATTAAGAACGAATTTTATGTCAAGAAAGAAGCTGGACGACACAAGCACCTTGGTGTAATCCGCCTTTCTATCTTCCTCTGTGTGTGCTGTGTTGACGTGGTTCAACAGTCTTTCACATTAGAAAGTTTCCTTTAAAAGAGTCTAGTTTAAAGAGACTATTGTATGTTATGAACTGAGGAGTTTTTAACCACACATACAAAGCTTTCTGTTCTTGTAGAAACATAATGGCTCAATTATGAAAACAAAGACCTTTAATATCTTCCCGCCACCATTCCTCAGCACAGAAGTAGCAAATTAGTATCTTCAGATTGTGCTAGAATTTTGTTTTAAATTTCTCTTTGAATTGCTTGCTTTTCATTTAACTGTTAAAAAATGTTTGACAGGACTTGAACACGATTTTCAAGTTTCCCTTAAATTGCCCTAAACACTTTTCCTTGCTTTATCTCATACATTTATGCAAGGCAGCTTTCTCAGCACTGAAGATTGTAAAGTCATAGCACTCTTGAGAAGCAGAAGCAGGAGGGTCACAGGATGGACGCCAGCCCATCCTACTTCACAAGTTTCAGGCATCCTAGGCTGTGAGATACTGTCTGCAAGTAAAATACTAATCAACTGGAAATGTTAAGATGTTCAATGTCCCCAATGTCAAATATTCAGCCATCCGCTTTTAATCATTAACATACACAAAGAATCTCTTTGAAATGAGTTTTTTGATTCCTCAACAATAGATGCTCGACTTGTAAGCCAACTTTATGAGCCTACATCCCAGGCTACATAAAACTTTCTCAGGTGGAAATGCGCGACAGGTGGGAAGTTTAGGAAGCCCCGGCTTAGGGAGTAATGGCTAGGAGGAAAACTCAAACCGGTTGGCGACAAATGTAACTACCCCCAAATTCTTTCTACCCAACCCTGCTGACATGGAGACAGGTGTATGTAGGTGTTGAGGTTAAAAGAACCAAGGAGATGCCAGCAAGAAGAGCAATGTGGACAACACGTGACAACACGTTACATCTTAAGATTTGATTACTCTTCCCCTGAATGTGGGTGTCAGTGAGGAGGCCTCAGCAATCTATGGGGCCTCGGGTAGTAGATCAGTATATCCCTGGCATACAAATGGGCTTTGGGAGCCCATTCCACATGGAGGGATGCTCTCTTAGCCTGGACACATGGGGGAGGGCCTAGGCCCTGGCCTGGATGATATGACAGACTTTGGAGATCCCCCATGGAGGACTTCACCCTCCCTGGGGAAGGGAGTGGGAATTGGGTGAGGGACTGGGGGGGGGCAGGGGAGGAGGGGAGGGAGAGGGAGCTGGGATTGACCATGTGAAGCGAGCTTGTTTCTAATTTTAAAAAATGAAATAAAATTTTAAAAAGACTTGGATACTCTTACCTCTTTTAAATACTTCATACATAATGGGGGAAAAAATCACTCCCATTAGTGTGTATGAGGACAACACACCCCCACCAAGTCACACGCTGACACAGTAACCTCAGGGGCCAAATCCAGCAGAAGCCAAGATCAGCTCCAGCTGAAGGTATTTATTTACTTTTTTCCTCGCCTCCTCCTCTTTATAAGCGCTCCAAAGGAACAGGCATTTAACACTGAAACAGAACTTCGCTGGCCAGAACATTTTAGGCACGAGCAGATGGGCCCTAAGGAATTTCTCACACCCATGAAGTCACATCAGAAAAGCATCTCTCTGTTTTGCTTCTCCTAAAGTTGGCTTCACAGACACAAGATGCACTTCAGCAACTGGTGGTGGTCATGGGAACAAGCCTGACGTTCAGATCAAGCTGCACTCCAAAGTCAGAGTTCAGCTGACAACCACTTTTCTCTCTTTAAGTATGTATACTTTAGTGTGTGTGTGTGTGTGAGTATGTGTGGTGTATGTGTGAGTGTGTATATGAGTGTGTGTGTGTGGTGTGTGTAATGTGTGAGTGTGGTGTGTGTGTGTGAATGTGAGTGTATGTGTTTATGTGGAGTGTGTGTGTGTGTGTGTGTGAGTGTGAGGGGGGCGCGGGTGTCAGATCTCCTGGAGCTGGAGTTCTAAGAGGTTGTGAGCTGCCCGATTGGGTGCTGGAAACCTAGGGTGCCCTCTGCAACAGCAGCACCAGCCCAGTAAACCGCTTCAGAGTAACCTTCTGGCAGGTGCTTCTGAGAACAGAGGCAGGAGCCAGTGGATGTGTGACAGTGGGCAGAACAATGTTACCTTAGTTAAAGGTGATCCATTGAGTTGCTTATGAAAAGACTGAAATAATCAATGTAAATAATAATTACAATAAACCCTTTAAAGGGATGAAGCAATGAATGTAAACAATCATGACCATTTCGACCGGTGTGAAAAACCCAATGAACCAACACACAGCAGCTAATCCCCCCTTCTAACAAACGGTATTGGGGACTGAATCCAGGGCCCCAACTCAAGCCAGGCAAACTCTACACTGAGCTACAGCCCCAGCCCCAACTCCAACAGATCCTTTCTGGGAAATATGAGTTCCAGCCCGGACCCCAGAGCCCAAGGCAGCCCAGGACTGGACCGGCCCAGCCTTCCTACGCAGCCTGTCAGCAGTTGCTAAAAGAACAAGCGGGAGGCCTCCAAAACTGAGGGCCAAAATATAAAGAAATAAATAACTTTTTCCTTTATAACTTACTCAGCCTCAAGCATTTTATTACAGTACCACACAAATACAAGATGGGAAAACCAGGGGGCTGTGACAAAGAATAAGACTTCCTAAGTCAGTCACTTCCTGGGTCCCACCCCCGCACCAGCAACCTCTCTGCTGGACATACAGCAAGGGTTCTGATAGAGTTCTTTCAAGAGAAGAAAACTACATTGATGTTCTCAACACCCACTTTGAAGCATCTAAAATGTAAACAGGGCCACAAGAAAGTTAAGCGCTGCCAGAACCTGCTCCAGAGGAATTCCCTCTGCATTACTGGCCCTCAGCACAAAGCTCTGATTATCCGACTGAATACATAAAAACACTGATAAACACTAACCACTGGGTTTTTGAGTTTTCATCATAGGCCCCTGTATCCCTGAGTCAAAGATGGTCTTTGTTGGGTAGTCTTAATGGAATGCAATGGACGTTAGTCACTTCCTCAGAAACAGACCTAGGCTATAAATACAGACTCAGCAACAGTCAAGCCACTCACCGAAAGGCCCACTGGCAACTTTAATTTAAAAACAAGAGCTCGTTATTAAACTGAAAAATAAGAAGTAAGAGATCCAAACCCATATAAACAACACGCCTAGAAGAAAAACCCTCAGTGTGCCCGGC